TCAGAAGCAACTACGGAAGTAGACGCGGGCGTCGACACTAGCAGTCTCAACCCCAGATCACACACAGGTACATCCAGCATAGCAACACAAGCATAAGAGATAAAGGAGTGGGAAGCTCCCGAATCAAACAAAAATACCCCATCCTTACCAGCAGCTCTGCCCTTCCCCTTCACTAGATCAGAAGAATTCGAAGCCTCAACACCGGTCAATGCAAAGACCCTACCAGCTGTAGACCGAATTCAATTCCGTCACTAATTTTAACTAATATTTAATTTAGTGACCGAATTTAATTCCGTCGCTAAAAAAATCAAAATTTTTTATTTAGCGATCAAATTAAATTCCGTCGCTAAAAAATCAAAACTTCTAAGTTAGCGATCGAATTCAATTCCGTTGCTAAAAAATCAAAATTTCTAATTTAGCGACCGAATTTAATTCGGTCGCTAATTTTAACTATTACTTAGCAACCAAATTGAATTCTGTCGCTAAATTTAACTACTATTTAGCGACCGAATTCAATTTTGTCGCTAATTTTAACTATTATTTAGCGACTGAATTCAATTCCGTGGCTAAAATAAATTTATAATTTAGCGACCGAATTTAATTCCGTCACTAAATTTAACTACTTTTTAGCGATCGAATACAATTTCGTTGCTAATTTTAACTATTATTTAGCGACCGAATTCAATTCTGTCGCTAAATTTATCTACTATTTAGCGACCAAATTCAATTCCATAGCTAATTTTAACTAATATTTAGCGACCGAATTAAATTCCGTCGCTAAAAAAAATTAAAATTTAGCGACTGAAATAGAGACCGAATTTAATTCAGTTGCTAAAAAAATCAAAATTTATAATTTAGCGACCGAAATAGCAACCGAATTTAATTCCGTCGCTAAAAAATCAAAAAAAAATTATTTATTGACTGAAATAGCGACCGCTTTTCTAGCGACGACTTATTTGGTCGCTAAATCGGTCGCTATTTTAATTTTTCATAATCGGTCGCTAAATCAGTCGCTAAATAGCTACTGGTAAATTTCGATCGCTAATTTCGGTCGCTATTTTGCAATTTTCTAGTAGTGTCATTTTATACATTGATTTGAATTAATGAAATGAAGTATCAAATGATTTTCAAATTTTTTAAAAATTTACAAAACTGATCTATGCATTAAGAACTTTAAATTCAACGGTTGGAGCAACTAGAGGTAAGGGAAGCTTTGTGGTTTGAATCATTTGATGTTAAACACTTGTTGCTATGGTCTGAATTCATCAATTGCATGTTTGAATTGGTGAAGATTATGAATTGAATCTATTGTGAAGGAGTAACCTTGAATGGTGTTTTTGGGTTGATTGGTTGAATCTAGATGTTGGGATGGTTGCATGTGTTGTTTTAGCCTATTTTGGTGTTGCCTATATGGTATGTATTATATATATTAGATTGTATGTTGGGTTCTTGTTGTATTTCAAGTAGATTGGACAAAAATAGGTTATACACAAGTGCAAAAATTGATATCACATCAGGTGCACCTTCATGCCATTACACGTGATTCGAATTTAAAGGTTCTCATTCTCTTGACTACGAGAGCAAGATTGGTAGCCTTGGACGTGAGGAGAGAGAGTTGTCTTTGACTTGGTCATGCCGAGCATGAGTTTGAATGGCACTAGGCATGAGGAGTCTTGGGATACAAACGTCAAACAAATCTCACATCAATAAAATAAGAGAAGAAATAACAACTTATAAAACATACTCATACTCCAATGAAAGAGAGACCTTTTGGATGATAACCAAAAGCAAAATCGTGAGGGCTTAGGCCCAAAGCGGATAATATCTCATTATTGTGCAGTTGTGTGTAAAATAACCTTATAAAAAATAATACTTATAAAATATCACCTCAAATAAATACCATAAAATAACCCCAACAGTGGTATCAGAGCCGCTAGGTTGGATTCGAAAACAACCCTCATAACTTATAACTCATAATTGATAATGTGATATATAAAGATAAATTCCGTTGCATGAAAGGTTAGGTCCCTTGTTTGAGGGGAGGATTGTTGAGATACAAAAAAGTCTCACATCAATAAAATAAGAGAATAAATAAAAACTTATAAAACACACATACTCCAATATTTGAGAGGCCTTTTAGGTGATGACCAAAAGCAAAATTATGAGGGCTTAGGCTCAAAGCGGATAATATCTCATCATTGTGGAGTTATGTATGAAATAACCTTATAAAAATAACCATCATAAAATATTCCCTCAAATAAATACCATAAAATAACCCCAACAAGGAGAGAGAATCATTTTTGCCTAAATCCACATCGGGCACTAATGAAGTGGCGTCGAACGTGAGCCAAACAGAAACTCTCTACCTAATTGGGGTTGGGTGTAGATTTTGCCACGCCAAGCATGAGAGAGTGGGAGACTCTCTATCTCAGCCACACCAGGCTCGAGTAGTTATCAAGATAGAAAGCCCCTTGTCCTAATGGCACTGGGTGTCTAGGGGATGGTGCGTGAGTTGCTTGATTTAAAACATGATAAGTTGAATGAATGGTTGATGGATGATGAATTGTTGTATGATGAATGTTGTATGATGATAGTTCATTATGCATTGGTTTGAGATAATGTATAATAATGTTTATGTTGTTGAGATGTAAGTTAATAGATGTTTAAGTTGTGAAGTTGTATAGTGTTATAGTTGATTAAGATGTTAAGGTTTTGAGCATATGGTATTGATACATGTCTTTGTTCAGATACATAAAAATTAGAAAAAAGTAAAAAAAAATGTTTTAGAAATTGAAATATTTCATTGTGCGGATATAAATTGTGGTGCTCCAATAGCTCAATTGAAACCCTTCAATAATTAAATTGGCTTTTGAATTTGTTTTTAAAGTTGACTCCTCTAGGTTTTATATTGTATCCTTATGTAGGCAAGGTCGATGCATATGTGTATAAAGTGACTAATTGAGTAAAGCACAAAGTCGAGGACTTAATTAGTCCCTAACCGAGTATTAGAGGGGTGTAGTATTTGGAGGGTAGTCAGTAGACTAATCCCATAGATGACTTAGTGTTGCAAACTAAGGTCATGATAGGCTCATACCTAAATTATTCTACCTTGACATAGTACTAGACTTTCTTGTTTAAGTGGTGAAATCTGAGAAATCAAAACAAGTTATTAAGTAAGTTCTTTAAAAGGCTTGAAGCTGCCTATACCTGACATGATTATGACAAGTTAAACGTTGTAATTTGGTAGGGTCTAACTATTTAAACTACTCACCTCTATTATAGGAGACTTATGTAACTGATATGTGTGACGAAACATTAGTTACTTTTTGTTGTCTATCTTGATGATGTTGTAATGTTGAAGTTGTTAAAGATGTGTTGTATTATAAGTTGTATGTGGTGAATTGGATGATAAATTAAAACTGTGTTGTTTAAGTTGCTTATGTTAATACTTTATGTTGTGTATATGTTGAATTGTTTCACAAGCTTACCTTGTGTTTTTCTTGTGGTTGGAATTACAATGGTCATACTTTGTATAGGAGTAGAACAAGATTAATAAGATGACTTGATTAGTTGGTGGAGGGTCATGTTGATGGTGATATGGTTTTGACATTGTTACTCTTTGTGTGCAACAATTATTGTATAGATATTTGGTTGGCAAGTAAAGTTTATTTTGTATATAGTTATGTATTCGATATAAATTGTATATGTGTACAAAGTATGTGTATAACCCCGTTGCGGGGATTTATATCTTTAATTATTTTATATTTTCTACCCTATACATGTATTATATGATTGCCTATATAATTATTGTATGATAATCTTATGTTAGTTGTATGTTATTTAGTCTTTTTACTACGTAATAATTAAATTATGTTAAGTATAGTAACTTGTTGGATCATTAAATAAACAAAATATTTTAAAAAAATAATTAAAAGTTTGTTTTAATATAAGTTTATACGAATTTTTTTAAAAAAAATTCTACTAAAAATAAAAAGTTTTTCCTAATAGATAAGCTTTCAATACTACTTTTAGCCTAGGTAACTAGTCTCCGAAACAAATAAGTTCCTACTTATTTTAAATTCCTTAAAATTTCCAAATTTTCAATCCAAACACTACCTTTATTCACAAAATTGCAGGTTTAGTAAATTAGTAGCTTTAGTTCGTGGGAATGAACGTACTTTGGCTAGTCGATGTGGGCCATTTTTGTTACGTCTAATAGAGACAAGCGTGAAAATGGAGCTGGAGAAACAAGGGCGCGACCAACTCCACCTCTCTACTTCACTATCAATTTCATTATTACTAATTTGCAACGTACGGGTCCTCCATTACTCCATGCACTTTTTACAACTAATCTTCTTCGTGATTGGTTAGGAATTTGAGTCAACACTAAGAAATAATCCTTAATACTAGGTCTACACAATAATTCATTTCTCTCATCCTCAAATATACTACTATATATAATCAGAGTGTATTCAAGTATATCATAATGTTTAACCAATCAGTTCATGACATTTTTCTGAATTCATCTCGCACGATTGCATTGCATGTTCAGGTAGTGGTGGCTGGTAATAACAGTAACTACGTGGGGCCATATAGTAATAACAGTAACCACTTTGTATCTTGTGCGTGTCAACTACTACATTGTCTTCATCTAGGGGCAACCGAACAAACCATAATTTTATTGGTTGAAACTTGATGTGAAACCATATTGCTGGCCATGCTTCTATTTGCAGGTAAAGGGTCAACTTTGATTTACGTGTTACAACGAATCAAAGCCGAATGAATAGTGATCAATTCAAAGATCAATGTTTCTAAATTGAGGGGGTTACTTGGAAGTTGAATTATGAGAAATGTGGTTAGTACTTAGTAGTTAGTACATGGTTCATGTAATATGCAAGTACGTGGTTCATCACTTTTTCATACTATTATTATAAGACTTTTTTCAAAGTAATCTAGAAAGAACATGCCATGTCTCTTATACAGGGTTATTGTCCACGCAATAATATGAAATTCTTTGAAGTCTCTTCCATTATTTCACGACTGTACAATCAATACAGACACACAACTCATTCCTGTGCTGTACAGATATGAAAATTACAAAGGGGAAAATATATGAAATCCAAAAGCAAAAAAAAAATAAAGTATCATGAGCAGAGTTTGGGCAAAGATTTTGCATAACTATGGCCTGATGCTTTTGATTTTGTGATCTTTGCCATTTGGATTTGCATTTTCCTACAGAATTTCTCTAGTTCCATGACCCTCCACTGCATTCCTTGTAAATGTGCTTTGAGTTTCTCATTATCTGTAGAAAGATCAAAATTGTCAGCATACAACACAACCTCTTCACTGCATTTATCTTTCTTTCCCTTTTGAGCAGCACCACTGGAGCTGCAAGGTGAATCATTGTATGAACTTGTACTGGGAGTGACATGGAGTAAATTTTTGAGCTTAGATTGTTGAGAGATAACTGCGGATTTTGAAGGAAACTTTTTGTTCTGAGAAAGGTGTAGACAAGCTTGAGGTGAAAGCTTCTCATAATTTAAACCACAGCATATCTTCAATCTTTCTTCCTGTGACAATTGAGTGTGTACCTATAACAACACTAGTCAGTTCAACACTTCAACCACACTATGTTTTACATAGGCCATGAATTTAAAGGCAGATTCAATTTTCAGATTGTGTTATTCATGATATTATATAAGCATTTTAGACTATTATATTTATATTATCATTCAATCACAAACTGCAGTATATAATAAAATCATTGACTTTTATAATAATTATCTTAAAATTTATATTATTGATGATATATGATTGGTTAATAGTTTAAACCATGTATTGAAATTAAATTCTATCTTAATCAAGTAGTAAACCATACAACAAAAGTTAGATTTCCAAATTTAAAATTTAATTTGAAGGAATTATTATACCTCAAGATACATGTCCATTGCATGGTAGAGCTCATCATAAGAATCTCTTGCGGAATCTGGAATTGCGGAGGCAAGTGCCAAGAACTTTGAAGTTTTCAAACAAGGATCAGGTGCTATTTCTGCTATGTACAAATCTATTAAGCTAGCAACTTTCCTCATCCGAATGGGAGTGACTAGTCCATTTCCTCGCCGCAGGAACGCTTTCAAAAATCTCAAAACAAGGTTCACATCATACAAGTAGCTTATTCCATAAGGAGATGGAACAAGCAAATTGTCCAAGGTTGCTTGATCCAATTGGGAACCAATCATGGTCTCCAACTTATTCCTGCTACATTTGCTAATGTTCAAACCCAAAGTAACCCTCAGAATCCCAAACAAAGTCTTGCAAGGAACACAACTTTGATCCATATCATAATGCATATCTATGACCATTTCAATTATCTTGCTCTTCTCATCTGTAGTGGCAGTGGAAAATTTGGCCTTCTGATAATACAGAAGAAACTTGCTTATAACAATATGGTCCATCTTCCGCGAAATCATTGACTTAATCAACATTGCAACCAACAAGGGACTCAGAAATAGGAGATCTTCAAACCACCACGTTAAACGAGAGAAACTTGTTTTTATACTCTCAGTACTCTTAGAGTCACATGAAAACCGAATCCAAGAACTTTCTGTGGAACTAGTTGATGGACAAGGGCTTGCTTCACTGGCCAAAACCAACCTCCCAACAATAGTATCCAAGCATCTTTCAACCATCACAGAAGAATCTGGAACTAGTAAATTCTGGCACTGTTTCAAAGCAATCAAAAGATCTGACCAAGTCCAATAGCTTATCTCTTGGAGAGACTTTTCTGTTTGCTCCAATAAGTTAGAAACATCAGGCACTGGTTCCTTCATTTCCATGTACTTGGCAGCACTACGTGCCAGAAACAAATTGGAGGGACTTATATCAGTTGTTCCATTGTTATAACAGAATTTTAACATAAGCTCAAAGCCTTCTGCACCTCCTGGAAAATCGTGGAATATTACTTTAAGCTTTCCTGTGCCACCACTAGACTTTCCAAATAATTTAGCAAATTTGCTTGAGTACTGAGTAATAACAGTCTGCAAAAGCACCCATTTAAAACAAAGTTAGATGATTACGGAAAAAATAATGTACCACTCTAGTAGTCTTGTGGAATAACTAGATAAGAAAGAATTTGCAACAAACTAGTAAAGGGCAACTTTTTTTAATAGGTTAAATTAAATACCAAAAACATGGAATCACTGGAGCACATAGACTAAAAAAGGAACAGGATAAAAATATGGGAAATGGAGAGAATGAAGGGAAAGTTCCACTCCAGTTAAAGTTCTGAAACCAAAAGAAGGGAATGGAAACGTTATAGACAGACAATAAATTGTAAGTAAGTGTGATCAGGAAGGTTCACTATTTACAAATCATCTGGCATGGAAGGATATAGAAAGGAAATAAATGGCTTGAAAGCAACCCTTGGTCCCTCTCAAAAAAATATGTGAATAAAACAAACAAAATGAAGGTGGGAACATTAAAGGCTCAGAAGACCATAGCAGCAGCATTTAATGTGACATGCAAAATCTATAAAAAAAAACAAAAAAAAAGATGAAAAACGGGGAGTCATGGCTGTGGTTTGTAAAAATGGCTATGGTGGAAATTATTGTGGCATGGACAAACAGAAGCTGCCCCACCTCTCTGCTATGTAGGTGCAAATTAATGATGGGCGGAAAGCTACATACACAATCATAAAGTAATCGAGGGTAGCCACTGCTACTAGCTAGAAAGCAGAATAGAAAAGGAGAAATTAAAAATTGCAAAGCACAAATCATTTAACCATAATCATTCTATATCCATGAGTAGTAGCAGCATTTAGGATGAACTGAAAGCATCAACCAACCCAAACGATGAAAAGACTAACCTTGTGACTACTATGTTTTTAAGATTAGATATTAGATCCTAAAAACATAGGAGAAAAAGGAAAATATAAAGGATTGAGAATTTACAATAAATGTGAAAACATAGAAGAAAAGAAAAAGAAAAAAGTGAACCATTGTCCAACAAAGTTTTGAAACAAATCATAAGATTTTCATAAACAAGCACTTTGAAGTTTTTGAACCAAGCAATAACGAAGAGAGAGAAGGAGAGATGGTTACCTTGTCCAACATGAAGGTCTCTTCTCCGTTTACATCCACTTCAAGGTTGCAGCAACAAGCTTCCATAACTCAAAACAAATAAAAAAAAAGGAAAAAAAAAAAAAAAAAAAACTAACTAAAACACAAAACAAAACAAGGGTCTTTTAATTGGCTTTCTGGAAGTTATCTCACATGAGAGATAATCCAAGGAAGGGAGATACATGAGAAAGCCAAAGAAGGGAGGGAAGAGGAAGGAGCAATAACAAGATCATATTCTGAGATAAGCAAAAAGACAAAGCAAAAGTGGACAAGACACTGGTCCTTGTAATAGGATGGTACTAGTCAATTGGCGCAGAAGTAATGAGGTTCTCCACAGGGACACAACAAAGACAAAGCTCGAAGTGAATGAGAAGCAACAAGGCATATGAAGACACAGAAGAGTGATATATAATATATGTGGACGGGTTATAAGTCAGAGAGAGCACACAACACAACGCGAGATGAGCAAAAGAAAGAGAAAATCAATTCTTTTATTGTTGTGCTTGACATATTATTATACCATAATATAGCACCGAACCTTCTGACATTCCTGCAAAAATATTATTACTAGCCTCTTAGTCTTAAGTAGCAACATATTTTGTGAATAGTTCTGATTTCTTTTTCTTCAGCAAGTCATAGACAAAAAAATAAATAAATAAGACTTAGAACTTAAGATTTATATCTGGCTTGGCTTTTCTCTGGTTGCATCTTCATTGCTGCAAGAGTTTTATACACATGCACCAACACCACCATAGGGTTTAATATTTTAGTGGCCTAGGTGCTCCCCACACCTCTCTTTTTCTTTTTCTGTGTGTCAACTGTCATGTAATTGACCAAATTTACCATGTAGACCCTTTTCATGGCATGTGCTTCTTCGGGGACCAATTCAAGTCCTTTTATTACCCCACCAAGCCACCAACCAGTTCAATGACACAGTTTTTCGATAAGTCGTCATATTTAACGTTAAATATTAAATATTACGCAAAATAAACATAAATAGTCGATATGTCCGAGTGGTTAAGGAGACAGACTCGAAATCTGTTGGGCTATGCCTGCGCAGGTTCGAATCCTGCTGTCGACGTTCTTTTTGTTATAGTTTTATTTTTTATGGTATGCACAAAATATTTACGAGTTCAGGCAAGATAATGGAAAGTTCTTCCTGTAATTTTGAAATGTGTTTTTACATGCATATATGTAAATAAATATATCATATTTTTTTTTAAGTATCGAATGATGTATATCTTCATCAAGAAATAAGCTTGCTCTCAAACCCTATATAGTTAATTTAATTGAAAAAACTCTCATTTTAAATATATAATTACATTATATATATATATTTGAAATTCAAATTTAAAAATATTGATTAATTGATTAAGCTAAAATAATTTTATATTAATTAATTTATGTATTTAGTATAAAGATATCATATACGACATAATTTATAATATTAATATTTTTTATCTAAATTCTAAGAGTAAAGATGCATAAATATTGTAAACATGATTTACATTGTATCTTAAAGTTGAAAATTAAAAATTAGTGTATACTAGTGGGACAAGATTTTCAACACCTAAACATTATTTTAACATTGAGATAAATGAATTTTAAAAATGTACTAAGTGTGTGTTTGCATTCATGTCTTGATGTGATTTTTCACTTCTAATTTAAAGTGATAAATACCATTTTTCACATAAATCAAACATTTGAACATGGAGAGAAAAAGAAAAAATTGTGTTAAAAAATCGATAACAAACACACACTAAGTCAATTTTTATATATCCTAAGACAAGACTTACAATCATTGAGTTAAAAGGTTTGATTGCTAATATATAAGTATAAAGTTGTGCTCGATCTCCTAATTTATACTAATATATAAAAATATATATATTTCTAATAACCACTTTAATCTTTATATTTTGTTAACCATTATACATTTTTGTTTTAAAAAATTAGAAAAAATATTTTTAATCAGTTCAATAACTGAAAAACTAATGGACTAATTATAACACCAATTAGACTAATATATTTTTATTATTTAATTTTTATTTTTACTTTAATTTTAATAGAAACACGAAATACTTTAATCTCACTAAGAATAATGATAAAAGTAATAATTAAAATAAATAAATTAAAAAATAAACGCGGGTGTTCTGTTTAATGGATAGATATAATAATAATATAACTATGATTAGGATGATATAAACATAGTTAAAAATATTTAAAGTGGTCTTATATGATGAGAAATATAGCTCAACTGTTCTGCTTTAAATTTTTATGGATGACAATAATTTACATCTTTGAATATCTAATGGCTCGCCCACACTCGAAAAAATCCTTAAAGAGGCATGTGAAAATGAGCTGTATGGATCTTTAGGTTAAAGACAAAAGTTGGATGTGATAGAGATGAGACGAAGAAGGGGTTGACAAAGCTCCAAGCTTAAAACTTCAAAACCGTGAACATGAAGACAATAATCACACAACGTGGCATAAAAAAGTCGTATAGGGTCACCATCTTTATTTACTTCCTAATTTACAATTTCTTTATTTTCTCTCTATGAATCTTTCAAGTCTTATCCAACTTTCTTTTATTTAACCTTTTTCTCCTATCAAAAACCCAACCCCTTTGGTAACTGACATGTCAGCTCCTGTTTCATATTTTCATTGGTTAACCACCCTTTTGTAAAACAAGTTCCTTTTACCATACAGTGTGTTACCAACACGTTTAAAAAAATGTTAACCCACTACTATGTGCAATGCTTGATGCTAGAAAAAGATTTGTGCCTTCCGTGTAAAAATGAAAGTAATGAGTTTTTGAACCGCATTAAAGTTCAATATTGAGAGTACGTATGTTCATTTCATTCATATCTTGTAGTTTTAATTTTTAAGTTTAATTAATTATAAAATTTAACTAATAAATAATAAATATTGATAAAAATAAGAGAAAAAATAACAACTTATAAAATATACACATACTCTAATGTTAGAAAGGTTTTTTAAGTTTTAATCAAAGTAAAACAGTAAAGGAATTTTCTACGTCTAGTTGGTGGAGTCTTAGATTAGTGCAACCAAAAAGTTAAAAGAAGATTAAGTAACGGGTGCATTAATGCTCATAAGCCGACCTTAGCTCAGTTGGTAGAGCGGAGGACTGTAGTGTTTAAACTTCGGATATCCTTAGGTCGCTGGTTCGAATCCGGCAGGTCGGAATTTTTTATTTTCTTTATTTTTTCCCCCACTTTCTACTATAAATTCAATGTTTTCACTTAATATATTTAATTTTACAATTACGGGATCAATTTAAATTTTGAAAGAAAACAAAAAATTAAGAAGGGAAGGGGAGGGGTTTGAAAAAAAGAATGACTCGCAAATTGTGGCTTGCATATGGGCCAAGTTTATTGAGGCTTTTGATACTGTGAAATTGTGGCCCACGAATGTTTTATACATTTTGGTTGATGATATATACACCTCCATTTTTTTATACATATACCCCCTTTTTTAAAAAAAAAAATTAAATTCCTAAATTATCCTTAATATTATTTGAAATAAAAAAAAATTATTCTGGAAAGTATTTTTCAAAGGTTGATGATATATAGACCTCTTTTTTCCTATAAGTACACCTTCTTTTTCCTATAAGTACACCTCCTTTTCAAAAAAAATAATTAAAATTTTAAAATATTCTTAATTTTTTGTTTTTTTTTTTAATTTTACATTCATAACATTTAATTTAGTATTTTTTTTTTACAGATCTTTCTTTTTTCTTCTTTTTTTCTTTCTTCAATTTTTACATGCACCCCGTTATCTTCCCTTCACCCCACTTATTTTGGTAGCATGTAAAAATTAAAAGAAAAAAAAGTGTGTGAAAAAAAAGAAAAAAGTAGAAAATTAAAAGTTAAAGGTATAAAATTAAAAAATATATATATAATATTTTATAATTTTTTTAAAAAAATAAAGAAGGTGTACTTATAAAAAAAAGGAGGTGTATATATCATGAGCCTTCCGAAAAGAACTTTCCGTCAGAATAATTACGGAAAGTACTTTCCATAATACTAAAATTACTATTCTGGAAATAACTTTCCGTCAAAATAATTATGAGAAATACTTTCCGTAACACTAGAATTACTATTGCGAAAAATTCTTTTCGGAATATTAACAGTGTGTATATTTGTTACCATAATTCTGGAAAGAACTTTCCGCAATAGTAATTTTAGTGTTACGGAAAGTACTTTCTAGAATTATTCCGACGGAAAGTTATTTCCGGAATAGTAATTTTAGTATTCCGGAAAGAACTTTCCATAATTATGTACAAATACACCTCCGAAAAAAAATTTCCACGATAATTTTTTTTTATTTCAAATAATATTAAGGATAATTTAATAATTTAATATTTTTTTAAAAAAAGGGGGTGTATGTATAAAAAAATGGAGGTGTATATATCATCAACCTACATCTTTTGTACTGCTGAAATGCTTGGAGAATCATTGGGCTTCATCGTCTTAGTCTTATGGAATTGTTACTTGAGCCTTTTGCTTTTTCGCACTGTTTATTGTTATTTTTATTTTTTTTGCATTGTCACGAGAAAAAGAGAGGGTCTATAATGACATTTATACTTTTTAATTTAAAATAATACGTCTAAATCTTTTGTAATTGTAAATTTGTAACCAAAAAAATAAATCTTTTATGATCACAATTTAACAACAACAAAAAATCAAAGTAAATTAATGACAAGTCTATGGAAGCTCAAGATATGGAAAAATGTAATTATTAGGCTTAAATGTACTTTTTCATAGGGATGCCAATGTAAAATGAGCTGGGGATGCTGGGCCGCCTCGTCTAAGGACGGGCTGGTAGGTTGGCGGGCCAGCCCGCATACAAAAAAAAAATTAAAAAAATGGAAAAATATATATATATTTTATGTTCAAATAAATTTTTTTTTTTGGTAGAATAAGGAATTACAAAAGAATAGAAGAACTCAAAACATAAAGAATGACAGCTAGCCTAGGGCTAATAAATCATGCAAGAAGGCCTCCATAACAAATGGAGGTGGCACAATAAATTCACGTGTTACATTATGACTTCCAAAAGTTGCCAAGCGGTCTGCAACAGTGTTAGCTTCACGGGGAATACATAAAAGTTGAGTTTTCCACGTTCTGGAAAGAAGAAGACGAATATCTATCAAGAGATCTCGCACAGAGGGGGAAGCCATGGAGGCCAAAGTAGAATGAGTGATTGCTTCCACAGCTTCTAGGAAGTCAGATTCACACACCACTTTGCGGTAACCCAAGCTCCAAGCTAATTCAATACCATGCTTAATGGCCAAAAGTTCAGCCTTGTATGCATATATATTGTACATAATATATGTTCAACGAAAGCAAATTACAAACTTAGAACAAAAATAGAAATTAGTCCACTTACACCAAAATCAAAACCAAATTATAAACTTATAAATTACTTATAAACTAAATTTTTTGATAGTCCACAAAACAAGTTCAAATACAATTAATTAACTTTGAATTTTTATTTTAAGAATATTAGAAGCTCTCTTGGAAGAAGTTGTCTCTACTTTTTTTCTTGATCATCTTCATCCTCATCTTCTACATCAAAATAAATAAACATAAAAATAACTAAATTAAAAAAAAAATATGCGGGTCGGCGGGTTGTTGCAGGCTGGCCCGCTATTTGGCTCGGCGGGTTGGCGGGCTTGGCAGGTTGGCGGGTTGAAATGATGGGCCCGCCCCGCGGGCCACAACCCACTTTGCCATCCCTACTTTTTCATGCAAATTTTATAATTTGGTAAATTTTGTCATTCAATTATTTAAATTATATATTTTGTTATCCTTTTT